CTGTTTTCTGATGTTGATTTTTACAGAAGCAACCCCACATCAATGTATATGCTACAATAATTTATAGTTTACAGGGTTGGGGTTTAGGTGAGTGCTTAACGGCGTTTGGTAACCTTACCTTGCCTTCATCAATGTAACTTTGTATCTGGTTGTGATGGATAGTTTTTCATTGACAATCATATCACATTTCCTTATTTCTATATCAATATCTGAAACAAGCTTAAGGAGGTATAATTGAACAAGAGTTAAGCTCGAGTCTTTATCAAAATTACCACCGAATTGTTATCGTTATCTCTTGTATCATTTGCTTTCAAACTGTGCCAGCTGTTTTGCAAGGTGCATTGCATCAGTTAAATCACATTCTGAAACTATTGCATGCCCTAAAATACTTTCCTTTCAATAATGGAATGGTGTTGGTTCATGAAGTTTTGAAAGTATATTCTAATTCAAATCTAGTTTTATTATTTTAGCTTGTTGTAACCTAAATTAAAAAAGCACATGGAGGTTGGAAATTGGAAAAAAAACTAATCCGGCTGGGCTGTTCAGTTGTATTTCAACTACATACGTATAAAGTTGAGGAAAACAATAGTGTCAAATGAGAGACGATACATGTACCAATTTGCAAGCAAAAAGCACAAGTCCAATTAAAACAGACAACACCAAAGTCACCATTGCCAAAGATAAAAAGACGAAACAAACAAACAACAGCACTAAACACCTCATAAAAAAACAAAAAATTAGCAACACGAACTCAATCAAAAACTGTATCAGAACACCGGTGTTCAGGAATGATCATCAAGTTATCATGCTGCACATATTACACCTATCGTATTACTCTTAAAACCACCTTGATAAGTTATATGCATTGAATATGCATCTGTTAAAAGGCTAATTTTAATATTATTTGTGTAACAGACATTACAAGAACTTTAACTGTGAGACCTGTTAACCGTTAAATAGTTATATTTTCTTAGCATCTGAATGAACTCTATAGAACTGTCGCAATTATTTAGTGCAATTTATCTATGGCCATAAAGTCGCCACTGAAGAACACTTAAAGTTTCTGGTTATTTTAATATGATAAACATTCAAAAAAAAGACAGGTTTAATGTATATTCTGGTCAGTTTGAAGGTTGTTGCTCGATGTGAAAAGTTGGTTACATGTTTGCAATATATAAATATTGTATATGAACTCGATGTTGTCTTGTTAATTAATATTGAGATGTAACATAAATGGTGGCAGCGGAAAAGGATTAATTAATTTAAGATACTAATTATTCTGTAGTGGATTATAAGCGTAATTTTCCTAAAGGATATAGGTGCTATCGTAGGATTATTGCTTATGTAGCTGATATGATTTATCAGTGATTTTTTGCAATTGGATTAAATATTGCGTGCCGTTAAACTGGCGTATATCCAGCTGTGTGATTCAGCGATTGATTAGATATGAAAATTTTATTTAGTGACTTTATTGGATATATGTGATTCCGTAATTTGGAATATATCCGGCTGTTGATTCAGCGTTGACTTTGAATTATCGAGCGTATATTTTCAAGCATTAAACTCACTTTCGTTATATTTTCGTTAATCATAGGATTAATTGTATTTAGTGTTACGATCCGTAATGCCAGAAGGAGGTGTACTGGAAGGAGGCAGCATAGCAAAAAATCGTCCAAAAAGGAATATAAATTTAATGCAATTTACAGATGCCGAATATGCAGATGAAAGCGACGTGCCAGTTGAGGAAGATGTTTTTCAAAGACCGAAAACTCCGCCGCCGAAAAAAGCAACAAGAAAGACAAATAAACATGAGTTAGATATCGAAAGGGAAAAGCTTGCCATCGAACGTGAAAAACTCGAAATCGAAAAAGAGAAATTAGAAATCGAAAGAGAAAGAATTCGTTTACAGGGAGAAAACCGCCCTAAAACTGACAAGTATCAGTCACTACCATTCAAAGTAAAATTGCAACCGTTTGATCCGAAACTCGACGACATCTTAACATTTATATCGAAATTCGATGCAGTGGTCAGGCAAATTGGTCTAATGACATTAAGATTTTACAGTTAAGAACATTGTTGACAGGTGAAGCAAGACATGTTTCTTCAAATGAGTCCACTTCGAATGATGATCTAAGACGTGCGCTAATCGATCGATATGGATAGAGACCCCATGAATATTTTGTTGACTTAGTTAATGTTAGAAAAGCTGACAATGAAACTTACAGAGCTTTGATGGTGCGAATTATACAAAATCACAACCGATGTATCAAATACAAAGATCCGATCAAGTGTTTACAAGAGGATTTTTTTCTGAAGACTCGATCACCAGTTCAAGCGCAATGGGTAAGAAGAAATAAAGGCAGCGCGTCCGTAGTAGAGGCAGCAGAAGACTACATAGTACCGACAAAAAATGACAATGTACAAAATGATGAAAATAGAACAAAAACTGACAATAACCGTTGTTTCAAATGTAAAGCTATTGGACATTATGCACGTGATTGTGGAAAAAGGGACAAGAAAACAGGAAATCTTGCATCTTATTTAGTTAAACCGCTTGTTGGACATATACTTATTTGTGTTTCAGGAGAAGTAAATGAGAAGCAAGTAAGCTTTGTGAAAGACACTGGTACCGACATGACATTAATTCGTGAAGATCGTGTGGATAGTTAAAACATTTTACAAGGACAAAATGTAACTCTACAAACTGCTACTGGACAACCGTTTTGTGCTAAGCTTGCTCTAGTTAACATAGACACACCGTAATATAGAGGTATTGCTCAAGTTGGACTCGTACCGGAATTAGCCGCCGAAGCACTTTTGGGAATGGATATACTAGAGCGAACTAGTAACGCATTTGTTGTAACCAGAGCACAAGCTAAGCGCGCCGAAGATGAGATCGAATCTGACGATGATGCATCCGAAAGCGAAGTTGAACATGCCGTGGAAGTGACGAAAATAAGCGATGATGATGAGATTGTTATTGGTAACATTTCGTCTGTAAATATTGAATGTGCAACGTCTCCATACAGACAGCAGTCAAATGGGAGATGCGAGCGTTTTAATGGTACTGTGAAGTCCATGCTCAAGAAGTTGTGCACGGAATCTGCCGAGGGATGGGATGAATTGGTTCCTTATGCGTTATTCCCGTATCGTGAAGTCCCGCGTGAAGAAACAGGTTTTTCGCCGTTTGAGTTGTTGTATGGTTGGCCTGTGAGAGGTCCGATGGCCATACTTCGTGGATTATTTACTGGAGAGGATGAGATACACCGTTCAGTTATTCAACATGTGATAACTATATGTGATCGTTTGGCAGATATGTCAGGAGTTGTTAAAGAAATTTTGTCTCATCGTAAAGAAAAGATCAAGGCTTGGTACTACAAGCGTGAGAGGTTCAGAGAATTTGAACCTGGGGACGAAGCATCAAAGAATAATGCCGATGCATTATCAAGAATTTAACAAAGATTGACTGTAAGCGTTATGCTTTATTGTGTTTGTTACAGCTATGTAAATTGGAGCAACGCTTTTATTCTATTTTAAAGTTAATTTTCGGAAACAGTGTTTTCTCTTGAAAACGGAGATGTTAAAAGGCTAATTTTAATATTATTTGTGTAGTAGACATTACAAGAACTTTAACTGTGAGACCTGTTAACCCTTTAATAGTTATATTTTCTTAGCATCTGAATGAACTCTATAGAACTGTCGCAATTAATTAGTGCAATTTATCTATGGCCATAAAGTCGCCACTGAAGAACACTTAAAGTTTCTGGTTATTTTAATATGTTAAACATTAAAAAAAAAAAGACAAGTTTAATGTATATTCTGGTCAGTTTTAAGGTTGTTGCTCGATGTGAAAAGTTGGTAACATGTTTGCAATATATAAATATTGTATATGAACTCGATGTTGTCTTTTCAATTAACATTGAGGTGTAACAGCATCTAACAATAAATGATTGATGAATGTCTTTTGTCTAACATAAATACAAATGTACCAAATACAACCACTATATGTACATATCGATTTTTTAACACTAGGACTTGACGAAATATAAAAGTATGAAATGAGTTTGTTCCTGCAAAACTAGTTGCTATCTTTCAAATATGTCCTCTTAAGTTTTGTTCTATTAATATTCATGAGAATGTATTTAAAATTGCTATATTTTCTTTTATTCAACAATGTGTACATTTGTCTAGAATATTCAATTACTTAAACGATATTGAAATAAAGTTAAGATTATTTAAATAAATCACTTTAATGATAGAACTGGGATACACATGCGTGCCTCTTTAAAGTATATGTTAGATGTATGTTCAAAAATTAAGGGCTGCATTTATTTTTATGTTCTCTACTGTATGTCACTGTTGCCATTTTAGGTATTACCAATATAAAAATAAGGATATGTGGTATGATTGCTAATGAAACAACTATCTACCAAAGTTAAAATGTAGTACATGTACGAAATTATAGACAACCGTACGGCCTTCAACAATGAAGCCCATACCGTATAGTCGGCTATAAAAGGCCCCGACATGAAACATATGGAACAATTCAATTGAGAAAACTAACGGCCCAATTTATAATAAAACAAATAACAAAAACAAATATGAAAGACATGAACCAACGACGACCACCGACTCCTGACTTGGGACAGGCACATAAAGAATGAGGCGGGGTTTAAATTGTTTGTTAGCTCTCAACCCTCCCTCTAACCTGGGACAGTGGTGTTACAGCACAACATAAGAACAAAGTATAATAATCAGTTGAAAAAAGGCTTAACTCATCAGATCCATACAAAGAAAAACATCAAACAAAAACACAGACAGGACTTGGCAGGGTAATATATCTATCCCTTATCCCTAACAACATAAAATACACAGATCTGAGAGTACTCGCAGTTACTGACAGCTAGTTCAAAGCAAATACAACTAATAAAAAAAATCATGTATCTAAGACTAAAAGTCATCGCCTGGTTTTCCGGAATTTTGTGAATTTAAACCTGTACCTGTAGACCCATCGTCCTGTCCCAAGTAATCAGCAACGAATGTGTTTTCTGTTCGTTTCAGCGCTTCAATGAAACTGGCATAAGCTTTCTTTCCTCTGTATGGTAAGATATATAAAAGTGCCCTCGTCTGTTTAGACTTGTTATGCTGTAAAAATGTCAAACATAGTTAATTTGATAGTACATAATGTCCCATTAGTCTCTTTACAAAGGCATTTGAATGCTGTATAAATCACATCCATGAACATTTGGCAAGAAAGCATTAACATATTCTTAATTTATCAAAAGTCATGCACGGAGAGAAAAACGGATAAATTCAGAGACAAATGTTTACCAGTTTACGCCCGTATTTGAACAAAACCATATCAGATAATCAATGTCCGTATATACAATGTTTACTTTGGTTAGAGAGTAACTGAAATGTTTTTGGAATAATAGGTTTTTAAATATTATTCAAGTTATCGAATTATCATTATGTGTCGGGACATCATATGCCTAAAAAAATGGGTTTACGAGTTGGGAGGGTATGTTCTCTCTGACAAACCTTAATTTCAGTCAAATCTTCTTCTATAAGTATATCATCAACCTCCAAATATTCACATATCCTTTCCACATCATGCAGATTCATCACTATGTATTCAAGACTAGTATGAAGAATCTCTTTGTGTTCCTGGTCCATTTCTTCTCTGCTGAGACTCTGTAAAAGACATAAAATACAAAAAAAAAAATGTGTAACATTATTGTTTCCAACAGATATTTTATTACCTATAAAAATTCTCAAGACCTAGCATGTTTCTATCGTTTGTTATCGATTAGTAAATATTATTCCTATCAATGTCTTGCTTGGTGTAAAGTAAAACAAAAAGACTGTCATGTAAATTCATGTATATTAGAGTGAATATCAATTTGATACAGATCGGAAAATTGTCAAAGGGGACTTCAAACTTTAGATTTTTAACATTATTCCGTCGAGAGAGATCAAGAAAGGTAAGAGATGCAATCATTTTGAAAACCTTTCGGATATACCAAAGTCAATCACAAATGTGATCTCTAAAGTCAAGCTCATCAGAAGAATAAAAAACACGAACACTGAACCATGTAATACCTTTAAATTCAAGGGACTTTGTCAAAGGCCTCAAATAGTTTTTCTTACATTTGTGTAAATGGACAGTTCAGAAATGTATTCTTGTCGTACATGTTGTAAATCAATCTATTCCAAATTCAAAAGATCCCCCATTAGTTCAACGTAAAGAGTTGTAAAACTACACAACAATAGAGCGCCATATAAATGCTGATTTAACTATGATCATGATGAACTACATATAATCTCGCAAATTAAACTGTGTATTTTGGATCTTTTAGATAAGTGATTCAGTACAAGCGGTGTAGCCACGATGTCGTAGAAGCAGGGGTTCGATTTCCGCTGAGGCAAGAACAAAATTTGCTAACGCAAATTTGCAGATCAAACGTTGGTGGGCTGAATTTGAGACAAATAAAATTGAGAATGGAAATGGGGAATGTGTCAAAGAGACAACAACCCGACCATAGAGCAGACAACAGCCGAAGGCCACCAATGGGTCTTCAATGCAGCGAGAAACTCCCGCACCCGGAGGCGTCCTTCAGCTGGCCCCTAAACAAATATGTATACTAGTTCAGTGATAATGGACGTCATACTAAATTCCAAATTATACACAAGAAACTAAAATTAAAAATGATACAAGACTTACAAAGGCCAGAGGCTCCTGACTTGGGACAGGCGCAAAAATGCGGCGGGGTTAAACATGTTTTTTGAGATCTCAACCCTCCCCCTATACCTATAGCCAATGTAGAAAAAACAAACGTACAACAGTACGCACAGTTAAACTCAGTTTAAGAGAAGTCCGAGTCCGATGTCAGAATAGGAAACAAAAGAAAATAAACAAAATGACAATAATACATAAATAACAACAGACTACTAGCATACATATTATATAAATATATATTTATAGAAATCTATAAAAAGAACCAACCAACAAATTTTATATGTACCGGATTGTCTAGAATATACGATACTGCGCAGATAAAGGAAAAATTATATAAGTCTAAAGATTTGCACAACGGTACTAATATAAGATGGCAATATACGAAGATGATGTTTTTAAAATCGTGTTGACAAATATTTCGGCTGAACACATAGCCTTCCTCAGTGTCAATACTTTTAACTATTTTAATTGTTTGTGTAAAATAGCTCAATAATACAGGTCAGTTTTGGTCTATTGATTTAATCCAAAATCTTGAACATCATCAAATAAACCAAAACTCAATACTCAATAGACGTGCCTAGTGATTGAACAAAACATTCACTGGAGTGATGCCAAGCGACAGGTTTGGTAAATCTTTTAGAGAAAGGAACTGAATGTACTTCATTCAAACGGCATCAATAAGAAATACTAGCAGTTTTATAGAGGGACTCCTCTATTATTTTACACTCATTTTGACAATTTGGGATGTATATATACACAGGCACAACTATTGAGTATTGTGTTTTGTTTTATTTGATGAGGTACAAGAATTAGGATTAAATCAATAGACCAAACCTTACCTGTATTATTGAGCTATTTTACACAAACAATTAGTATTGTTAAAATTATTGACACTGACGAAGGTTATTTGTTAAGTCGAAATATTTGTCAACACGATTTTATAACATTATCTTCCTATATTACCATCTTATATTAGTACCGTTGTGCAAATCTTTAAACTTATATAATTTTTCCCTTATCTGCGCAGTATCGTATATTCTAGACAATCCGGTACATATAAAATTTGTTGGTTGCTCCTTTTTATAGATTTCTATAAATATATATTTATATAATATGTATGCTAGTAGTCTGTTGTTATTTATGTATTATTGTCATTTTGTTTATTTTCTTTTGTTTCCTATTCTGACATCGGACTCGGACTTCTCTTAAACTGAGTTTTACTGTGCGTACTGTTGTACGTTTGTTTTTTCTACATTGGCTATAGGTATAGGGGGAGGGTTGAGATCTCAAAAAACATGTTTAACCCCGCCGCATTTTTGCGCCTGTCCCAAGTCAGGAGCCTCTGGCCTGTAATTATTTATAAATATTTCGGATAACAGATATCCTTCAGCAGTAAATATGATTGTGATGTTGAATGAATCATATATCAGTTTACTTAGATTAAACTATAACAATCTTGAAATCAGCAGGACGGTGCCTTTTGTGTTGACTTACCATCCAAAATTTGACACTTATCTCACCTAATCTGCAAAAATTGGAAAGAAATCGAAAAACATCCTAAACTATCCAAGATCTTTCCCGAGCCACCTGTACTGGCTTTCCGTAGGCACAAAAGCCTTAAAGACTTGCTGGTGAGAGCTGATTTATCCTCTCAAGCAGGCTCTTTGTCTGTGGGCTCTTGCAAGGGTTGCGGAAACAAACGATGTCTGACTTGCAAACAAATACTGGTTACCCAGACTTTTAACAGTCACTCCACTGGTACAGAATACACCATATTTTGCAATGTTAATTGCAAGACAACAAATGTTGTGTATCTCCTACAGTGTAAATGTGGTAAACAGTATGTTTGCAAGTCAGAACATCCGTTTCACAAACGAATGAACGGTCATCGTAGCGACTACCAATGCAAGCCAGACCTCCCTCTCAGTCGACATTTGATATCCCTTGGCCACAATAAGGCAGATCTCAATCGACTGACCATTACAATCATTGACCACAACTCTGCTTGGTCTAGGGAGGATAGACTCACTCGGGAAAGATTTTGGATAAGAAAATTAACAACTTTGGCACCAAATGGGATAAATGAAAAGATGTAGTTCGACTCCATGCAGTGCTTCACATTTGGGTTATATTACTTATCATTACAGTCTCTGTTTTTATTTCTTTACCTTACTCATCTCTAAAATAAATCTGTTGAATATACCAATTCAGATTGCTTAATTTTTTGAGGGATGTAAAAGTTCCAAGCCACGTTCAACTAGTTAACCTTAGTCAAAATTTATTATTATATTTTATCGGCCGTTTGTTTGCGATGTTTAAATACGCAGACTCTGTTGTAACTACTCTACCGTTGTCAAATTTGAAATATTTACAAATTTAGATCGTTCAGTGCTGTTTATTTGGAATTCTTATTGACGCAATCGTTCTTGTAACATCATAACTGTCGTCACCGTTAAAGCTTTAGAATTGTGCTGGTTCATTTCGCACATTATTATTTTTATTTAAAGCATATATTTGAACTCTCTGTTGTAACTAGTCATATAACCTATGTCGTGTTTAACACATATTTAGAATTGTGCAAGCGTCTTACCTGATGTTCGGTTGGACTTTTTTATTGTATAAATTTCAAGATTGTTATAGTTTAATCTAAGTACACTGATATATGATTCATTCAACATCACAATCATATTTACTGATGAAGGATATCTGTTATCCGAAATATTTATAAATAATTACATTTATAGTTCCTTTTTTTGTTATTGGTGTTGTTCTGTACACTTTTTAGGCGTTTATATATATATATATATATATATAGTGTCTAAAAATAGCAACAATCAACATTCAATCTATCTAGGCGTGGATCAGTTTGTAAATAAACTGATGCAGTTACTACATTAAAAATATATAAGTGCCTAAGAATGTAACTTTATCACACTAATGAGTGTTATATTTTATATTATTCACGCAATATTTCGCCAAACAAATTAGCTTTATCAGGCGCGTGCAGCCAACCAGGTAAAAGTTAGAGGCTGTAAAGAAATTTTTGCAGCTCAATGTTTAATGTCTAGAAAAATATTTTTGCCGCTTATTGTACATAGAAATTCTTAAATCAAAACAAATAGTTGTTTTAGTTAAATAGAATGAAGTTCAGGATTTATTCCTTTGGTTTTGAGTAGAACTGTTTTTCATCTTTCTCATTAAGTCCATCAGGTTCAAGAGTACGTAGCTGATGCATCCAGAACCTTTTTCTCTGTTTTCTCCTTTGGGAGTCCCAATTTTGGTTTACCTCAATTATTTGAAAGATGATATTTTCAAAAGTATGCCCTGTTCTTAAGAGGTGTCTCGTAATTAGACAGTTTCTTCCTTTTGTATAAAGACCGGTGAATGTTAATTCTGATGTTGAATTTAGTTTCTGTTTCACCAACATACTACAGCTTGCAAGTTCCACAAGTAAGAATATAAATACTATTTTCCGTTTTGCAATTAGATGTAACATAGATGTGGTATCGCTGCTTTGTTACTGTGATACTGAAAGAGTGGTCAGTGTTGGCGACTTTACAGCACTTACAATTGGTTCTTCCGCATTGTTTGTAACACCCAATTTTAAAGGTCTCTTGTTTCTTTACTTTAGATGTGACAAGTATGTCTTTGAGATTTTTGAGTCCAGGTGAAATCGGATGTAGATAAGAAACTTTTGCAGCTCATTGTACATAAATCTAGCTGTCTTTTAAAGAATTCAAAATTTGGATGAGTTTCTTTAGATGTGACAAGTATGTCTTTGAGATTTTTGAGTCCAGGTGAAATCGGATGTAGATAAGAAACTTTTGCAGCTCATTGTACATAAATCTAGCTGTCTTTTAAAGAATTCAAAATTTGGATGAAGTTTAAGATTATTTACAAAATTTATGGTTGAAGTTTGCAACTTCCATTGGCCAATATTACAGGATAAAAAGGA